GATAACAGATTCAGTCCTTTATTTTGTTTGTTTCTTTATTTGTTTAGCAAAACACTAATAATGAAGTCTTCCACAGAAATCAACGGAACGACCAAGAATTAAAAAGAAAGTTGAACAAACACAGACAGACAGGGGGAAAAAAACAGGGTGAAAAAAACAGTGTGGTGGGGGGGGGGACAACACATTTAATAGAGCTTCCAGGGTGAAATGAAGGGCAACATCCTGAAGGACCCAATCACTGCTGCTCAAGCACCTGTTGTCATGTTGAGCTGAGCTTCACTTGCTGTGTGGTGATTCACAACCTCCGTTTGCCCTCTTCAGGCTATATCACAATCACACAGACCCAAACCTCTAGCTCTTCATGTCAAACACCAGCAAAATAAACTGAATCCAGTGTGAAGATATCATTTACAGATACTAAATGAGTTCATATCTCATAATTACACATTGAGAATTTCTCTAATGCACGATTCAGAGTAATGATAAAGGAAGCAAAAATATCATGCATTTGCAACATAACTCATTAATTCCAATTCTAGATGAACAACATTTTCTCACCTGTCTAACCAATTCCCATGTCTTCTTACAATTCCAGACTCTGCAGGACAGTGAGAAATTGAAATGTAATCGATCTGTTCCATTCTAAACCCCACCCAAATAAATTTCCAGTCTACTCTTTCCAGACTCCAGGTAAGAGGAAATATGTTTTCCAGAGCTCCACACCACTACAGAGCAATTTTCAATGGCACCATACACAAGCATTTTAATAATCTCTTTCATACTGAAGCACACTTCGAAAGCACAGATCTCTGGGGGTTTACTTATCCTGTCAAATTAGATGACTTAAATGACGTCGCTGTGAGGCATAGCTTACTAACGTGCCCCAAAGACCACTGCTGTCCTCACTGGACCAGTGTCCTTATCCAATCTGGGTAAACTACAGTCCAAAACAAACTAAAAACAAAGCACTGCTTTCCATATCCTATGATAACAAGATGAATTATTTAGTCTTTAATGGAAAACCACTTAAATTGATCAAAATGTCCACTTACAGTACAAAAAGTGGCATTATTATTAGTGACAGACCAAGTTTAATATGAAGTTCAATACTTTAGGGCAGGGGTTTGTTAAATATTATGAGCAATGGTAAGACTATTAAAACAACAACTTACATGCAAATAGACACACATTTGGTTTTTACATATTTAGGCCAGGAAATTCATCAGACAGCATTTAACCATTCTGAGACTATTGCGTTGACCAATAACCATGTCTGCTTGACCAATTAACAGATATGGTAGTTAATTACAAAGAACATTTAAGAAAAACATGTTATATTTATATATAAAATATGTAAATATATTATAAATTCTATATAAATAAATATGCATATAAGTATTTTTAAAATATATACATGTATGTGTGTGTATTTATATAAACATAATAAATATACACAATACACACACATGTAAACACAAACTTTTATTTTGTATGCGATTAATCACTTGACAGGCCAAAATAAAATAAAATAAAATAAAATAAACTTTCCATGTTTTTTGGACAATGTACAATGGTACTATCAACGATTTTGGGTATGGTGCATGATCCATTGTACCAAGTACATTGGTGTACCATATAAATGCCATGGCATATAAACATGGCAATCATTCAGTACAATGGTACAAATAAAAGCACCATATTATTAATACATGTCCTTTCAGAGTAGTATCTACACTGCATCCACAGCATCACTTAAAAGCGTCCCTGTTGTCCCTGGCAGCTTTTATCCCAAGCACATGCTTGTCCCATGAGAAAAGACGCGGGGACGCCCCATCCAGTGCTCAGCTTTTACTATCGCCTCCATATGGCCTTTTACAGCCTGTTTCTTATCAATCTGAGAGCTGTCTTAACAATTTTCTCAGGCCTGCAAGATGGAAGACCAGCTTATAAAAGCCTACACGGGCCATGTCTCGGCAACTGTCACAGTAGAGACATTCATGCCATGCAGAAGAGAATACCAGGCTGATGCGTAGTACTGATTTGAATAGGTCTAATCATAAAAGCATTGTGTCTTCAAACAGCACAGGCTGTGACAGTGGCAGTGGGCGTATATGAGAGGAAGTGTTCGGACACAAAGTGACTCTTGCAGAGAAATTCCAAACATGCACAACAAAAGAGCACTTGAAAAGGCAAACGATAAAAGTTATAAATGCATTTAACCTGTTTTTACAGTCTATTTATCACTGTTAGTACTGCTTTTGAGAAAAAAATGCTTTCTTTTTTTATATACTTTTATATTTCCAAAGAAAAGTTTAGTCAGGCTTCGAGTGATAATGAATATTTGTTTGTTCTCAAATGTAGCAAATGTTTAGTAAATACTATATTTAAAAAATAAATAAATAAAACATATAATATAAATATAATAAAAAATAAAATGAACTACTGCATCACACATGGGAAAACGAAATACAGCCATTTAAAAGGATAGTTCAACCAAAATGAAAATCGTCATCATTTACTCACCCTCTGCTTGTTTCATCCAAACCTCTATGAGTTTCTATCTTCTGCTTAACAAAAAGGAACAACGTTGGTAACGAAACAGTTGATGTATCCATTGACTTCCATAGTATTTTTTCCAAACAATAGAAGTCAATGGCTGCCGTCAACTTTTTGGTTACTATAGCATTCTTCAAAGTATCTTCTTTTGTGTTCAACAGCAACATGTTCAACAGCATATAGGTTTGGAACAACTTGAGGGTGAATTTTCCTTTTCAACAGTAATACTATTCAAACAACAACTTGAAGCACAAACAGATACATATTTAGTGTTTTCATATTCAAAGAATGTCTTTTGTGTCTTCCAATACACGTACAACTAAATGTGGATGTTTATTTGACAACAAGCCTCAGGATGAGGGTACTTAATGTGTTTACTTAATGTTTTATGCAACTAAAGAGAGAGCGAAAAGGGGAGAAGTCAGAGAGGGGAATATAAAGGAGGAAAACAGAGAAATCAACTGTAGGGAAAAAAGGTAAAGAATAGTATAAAGATAGCTAAAACAGAGTTTTTCGTGTGTGCTGTTTCTCTTGGGTCTCTCGTCGCATTAGCATGCACTGCAGTGCTCATCTGGGATGATACACGTGGAGTGAAACCCAGGTCCCGCCATAATTACATTCCGGCATTCGCCCTCTCCCTTCACGTTCCCTCTTCTCTCCAGACACATCCTCTTCACAGCCATTATAAACCAGCTTTACACATAACCAGCTCCCTCCATAGTAATAACGCTGTCAATCGAGCAGCCGTAAAACTTTGCACCAGTAGTATAGGGCGGGGGTGGCTGATGCGAAAGATATCTGAGAGTTTGCTCGTATTTGTGAGGTAACTGTATCCACCCTGCCCTTCACAACCGCTCACACACATTACAGTAGTTAAGGTGACCTTTAACGTTATGGAATGTGATGACAAACTTTGTGCCTTGTGTCCAGACATGTGTACAATGGGGGAAAAATTTATATGACACAAAAGCTTAAATTAACTATGCAATAAGGGGTTGCGATACACTACACTGGAAAAAATATGAATAAAATCTATACTGTATATATACATAAATATATTTGATAGAATTAAAAAGTATAATTATAATTTAATTTAAAATATATAATTCAATATAATACATATTTTATATACTATATATATTTT